CATGTATATTCGATTAATAAAAATAAGTCTATACATATGCACATACGTTTGCGTTAATTCCATATATATATATATATATATATATATATATATATATATATATATATATGCACGACCTTCGTATGCACTGCTCTAGCTCGCTAACTTTTCCAACCAAGCAAGCTATAGCTCTACCAAAGCCAGATTTATTATTGTGTATATACTTAAGTCAGGAAGCCTGTCAGAGTCTCGGCACAAGCACTGCAATGTATGTGCTCGACTGATTTTAGAGTACTGCTAGATTGTTATCTCCAACTCAAATAAGAGTGATAGGATGAAGCTCGAGAGACTCCAGCGGTCTTTCACGAAGCGTCTTCTATGCCCATCTACGTTTAACTATCAAGGACGCTGCAAACTGCTTGACCTGGAGCCCCTCTGGTTGCGCATGTTTAAAGGCAACCTCGTATTCCTCTATAAACAGCTCAAAAACTCTGACCCAAGCGTAGGCAAATTTTTTGACCGATGGGTTATACACGTTACCCCATACGCAAAAACCTCACTCATGCTTTCTTCCTAAGACACGTCGCCACATGCTTTCAAACTTCTTACGCTATAGATATTCGCAAGTATGGAACAAGCTATCAGAAATTGTCCGCTCGTCAAAAACCGTAGTGACATTTTCCTCGGCCTTAAAACGGTTACTAAGTGTCCCCAAAGTGCCGGAAATTCTGGCCAGCTGCACTACCGAAGAGGAGATCTGGTAACAAGGCCATGATGACATGTAGACATGTATTCACACAACCACCACATACTGCATCTCCGAGTATTAAATCAACAGCGTTTCCAGCATATTAGTTCTCTTCTCTGGACGCTTCCATTCGCATGTGACTCCCAGTTTCAGTCGTATAACTTTGCTCTCCGCTTGTTATTCGCACTTAGCTCTCTGTCCGACACTTGTATGAGCTTGGTTATCACTCTGACCCTTCGTGGAACACGGGGAACAAATGAACGACACTGCCTTCTCATCCTCTTCTCAGCGAGGTATCTTCCTATTTGGACAGCCGTACTTTCAGGGACCTGTGTACGCAATAGTTCACTGGCTCTTTGCCCATTCTACTTTACCATCGATTTCCATTTTCCCTCGGATGACCTTCCTAACGGAATGCGGCGATGCTTTCCAAATCTATATAGAGTCTTCACACTCCTTACCTACTGCAGCACTGACGTCTCTGTAAACATGCCCAGCTGGCTCAAACAACGACAGGACACAGGCTTCCCTCGCATTCGTCAATCACCTGAGCTGGCACTCCCTTACCTCCTCTAATCCCGAACTCTTTCTTTTCTGATAAAACTCCCTACATTTATTATTAGCTTCGTTTGGCAGTATAGCATTAGTGTGCGTACTTAAGTGGTCTCGTCTGAATGGTCTCCTGCTTCCTGACTTCTCCCATACTCCAGAGATCTAGGCTCTAATGACCCAAGGCTTCTCACATCCCCGTCCAACGTCCAAACATTTTTTATTAGTTTCTTCTCGCACTCTTCACTTACATTGTAGCTAAGGCGACAACACTGACCGCTGCTGCTGCTATTGATGAATCTCTCCAAATCTTGCGATTAATCCTCCTTACATTTCCTTAACGACTAGCTTTTCCCGACTTAGGGTTTATCGTCACTACTTACTACTTGTCTAGATGGTCAACCGATATGACTGGAAGCATGCGTCCTTTGGGTCTGTTTGTCTTTCATTGCTGTCCCGCTGAACTCTTTCTGTGACCCGTGGCTTTCATTGACATGAAAGCAGCAGAACGCACTGGTGGCTCAGGAGCTACATCTTCAAAGTACCGCCGCCTACGTCCGATGGTATAACCTACCTATATAAGGCTGCTGATGTTCGCCAACTCTTTCTCAACCAGCCAGTGATTTGACCCATATGGCACTTACCCCACCCTACCGTCATTTTCTTAATGACCAGCTCCGCCTCACGTATGCAGTATCGAAACTTCTGACTACACGTCTATGTAGCTCACCTTTATGACTAGACGTGTGCATCTATCAAATTTGTCTGAGGTCCTTCCCGTCTGTCCCAACGGTTGCGGTTATCCTTTGGCTTTGACTAACTTGGAGGCTTTGCCGGCACATTGGCTATCCCTTCACAGTACCAACCCTACGTCCTATTGGAGTACTAGGTGAATAATCGTGCGCTATCTGTAGTACGACTGGCTTCGCATTATGACTTTACACGCGCTTCTCAAATCACTGTCCATCTTCCAAAACTTGTTCTTACTTTCTTCCTTTTAGCACCCTTCAATTACCTTGTAGCTAAAGCGACAACACACTGTCTGGCGCTGTTACTGATGAACCTCTCGAAACCTTGCGCATAATCCTCCTTACACTTCCTCAACAAATAGCTCCTGACTTATGTTTTATCTTCACTTCTTACTACCTGTCCAGTTGGTCATCCTGTATGACTGGATGCATACGTCCATCGTACCTGCCTGTCTTTCATTGCTTTTCGTCTGAAGTCTTTCTGTGAACCGTGACTTTCATTGTAATGAAAGCAGTAGTAAACTCTGCTGGCTCAGTAGCTCTCTCTTCACAATACTGTAGCAATTGTACATATCTCGCTTCCCAATTTACCTTCTTTTACCTATTTCCATTATTTATTGTACTGTATTGTTTTAACTGAATAAGAATCGATAAAGGCTTTTGGGTTTTTTGATTCGCCTTCTGGTTTCGGTTTGGAAAGTTGTATAAATAGGACAGGCGAAAGTATATTGCTGGCCGCAGTAACCTGGTACATCCTGGACTCAGATTTGCGAAGGTAAACAATTATAACGGTGCAATATGAACAATGTATAAAAGGCGTGCGCATATGAAAGTACTTTTTCGCTATTAAACTTGCTTAGGTAGTGGTTTTAATGAGTGCTTATGTAATGGCAAATAATGCGCATGAATAAAAAAGGTGCACGCTGAAATCGGCGCTAGGTTAGCAAGTGCTGATGGCAGGCTCAATGGTGGGGATATTTACAAAGAATTTTCCTGCAGTGAAAGGTGCTGTACTATTGGAGTGGCATGAAAGAATGTCCAAAAGGCACGCGTACGCAAGGGAAGGGTGGAAGTCAGAAAAGCCCTGAATTTTTTGATTTGTTATGTGAAATATACTGCCTTATAAAATGGTAGTGGACAGTTCTTCTACCGACTGTGTCGGGCAACTTAATGAGAAAATCGCACGGTAAATATTAAACTGGCAATTAGCGCATTTCGAAACCGATAGAAAGGTTAAAATTATAATGAAATGGAAAATTTGTGCATGATTTGTTTTAATTGACCAAGTTGTCAGTCCGTATATAAGGGAGCGCTACGTTGCACCGCCATACCTGCCAGCGCTATGGTCGCTGCATGCTTCACTTTCGCCAAGGGTCGGCGGCGATGGGTTCGGATGGAGATTACGCTTGCAATAGCTCAACGTCAGCAGCACAGCGCGTGGTGGAGGATGGTCAGTTATTGAAACAGCTAATTAAAATGATGGAACAATTTAAGCGTTAAGGGAAGACTTCTCGGCATTTCAACGTCAATCCTGCACGTCCTTTTTCGTGTACAATCCTGACCCTGCCGATCGATGCCTCCGAAACCGTGGTATTTTGCTACGGAAAAGGAGGACAGGTTTGTACTTGAAGTACGTATGTGTGTATGTCTACCGGAAACGTGGTGAAGACCGCCGGTAAGTGATTTTACTTGTCCTGCTAAAGCTACCCATTTCATTATAGAGACTGCAGTTTTGCCGCTGATGTCACTTGTGGTTTTGTCAATGTTTCGTATTAGAAAACTGATCACTCTACGGTGCATATGCATTTTTTCACGTAGGAACACCATGGTTATAAGTGCGTAATCGCAGGCTCTCACATGAGAGTGAGGAGCAAGTTTTCCAGCTTATGCATTGTTTTGTGAGTAAGCGTGAGATCCGAAATTTTGAGCTTGGTACCTTCCAATTGCGGTTGGAATGTGCAGAAGTCAGGTCTATACGTAATCGGCACGCTAAAATGAAGCGTGGGAACGAAGCCGTTCGAGTGAGGAGGCAGCTGCCGAGGGAAGCGAGATTCGACATAGTGGACAAGGAAGGTATAGTGCAGTATGTATCTTTTATACCGCGAAGCTTTACAGCATTATGTAATCGCTTCTGCGATGTCATCTTGGCAGAAGCCACACTTCAGCACAACTAAGTTGCTTAGACGCTATAGCATGCCATACTAGTTGAAGAAACCGGATTCGCTCGTAGTTTTTCTACGCGCTCATGCCTAATGATGTGGGCTAAGTTACCCTGATGCGATGCAAGGAATGACGGAGTATTTACCAACAACCCATACCGCAAGGACGTTGGTGCTAGATCGCTGATTAGTGCAAATGAATGCGCTCAAATCATACATCCCAAACGCGCATGTAATGGTTTTCCGCTTCCATGTACTAATGGACATGCGAAAGCGCTGCGCTCATTTAAAAGTTTGCAACGCTATGGACCGCGGGAAAGTTGAACAATGAATAAATAAGTTGGTCTATACACAGAACGAACCGCAGTTCAACAACGTGCTTGCTGCCATCGGTGCTGCCATAGGTATCATACTAGCACGGGACACCCCTACACCAAAAGCTGGACAGGATATGTTTTATAGGGCGTAAGAAATTTGGGCAGCTTCACTACAACAGAGTGGAGGTAGAGAATTTTTACTTAAAACACGGTTTGTCCCGTTAGTCAGTGGTCCTTCAGTTGTTTACACAGTTGTTACTACGGGACCATGAATTAGACCAGGCAAGGGAAAACTCACCTGAGTGAGGTTAAAACCCCTAATGTACTCGTTGGTTAACCGTAGTTTTGCGTTCCGCAGGGACATACCCCGGTAAAATGTTGCTGAAGTACCTAGCAATAAAAAGGTGATAGTCATGGGACATGGCAAGGGGTACGGGAATGTGTGCACCTCCCGTGGGCATTCCCTCCCTGTGAAATATGCAGATGCCCCGGTTTGCGGATGCGCATCCGCTATGCATTGGAATTTGCCGTGTGCTCATGGCCTAGAGGTATGTCGACTAATCGGCTATCCACATGGAAACCTATTCCGGAAAGTCGTTGGTTTACACCTGCGCAAACACCAGGGAAGGATTTCCATCTTGAAGAACAAAAGTACCTGGAGGTGCATACGGCTTTACAGTGCACGGGTGCCGAGAAGCTAGCCATTAGTGAAAGTGTTGGGAAGGAAATAGCTATCGCGTTAAACGCAATGGGCTTTTCAAGCTTCCGTAAACAGGTGCGCGCTCTGAAGAATCTCGCCGGGAGTATTTGTGAGAGACCTGATTTAGTACTAATGGCTAAGGATTCCATCACCGAGCGACTAATAACCATTGGGCGGATCGCGAACTGTTTCATTTTGGCGGAATAAGCGAATGCGTGTGGATGTTTTCATAAATGAACAGGCAGCGGATGCATACACCGCTGTTCGTGGTGAGCCGCTAACGTCACAACGTAGGTTGGCAGCAGCGCCGTCCAAAGGAAAGCCGGGTCTAGCCGGGAGAGAAGTGGATTATGTGGACATAGTGATAGTGGGTGATCCGTTACAGAAGACGAAATTCTGACAAATGCGAACTACGCGGAGCGTCACTCCCCTCCTGTCGACAAGCCCATGTCCAACCAAGCGGTCCATTTCAGTTCATCGGCTTCCATTTGGAGCCCTCGATCCTCCTTCAGATTGGCATGCCTTAATGTACGCCCACTACTACAGATCGGTCAACAGGCAGCACTTGCCCGAACATTGGCGACCCTCTCGATCGATATCTGCTGCTTATCAGAGACCCGCCTGAAAGACTCGAGCTCTGTGCTCACTCTGCGATCCCCTTCAGGTGACGCAAGCAGTATTTTCTCAGTGCGCTATCCGGTGACGATGCAGCTTCGAGCACCGGCCAAGCTGGTGTTGACATTGCCCTGAGTCCCCGGGCTGAAGCTGCTCTGGTTGATTGGATTCCAATCAGTAGCCGGATGTGTGCGGTCCGATTGGCTGACTGGTTTAAAACTTCGAAGTCACGCGGGACTAATAGGTGTCTATTCATCATCGCTGCCTGCCTATGCACCCACAAACTCTAGCGATGGTTCGGTAAAGAACGACTTCTACCGCCAACTGACTCAGCTCCTTCGCCACGAAAGAAGCACGGACACTGTTGTGCTGGCGGGGGATATGTACGCACAAATTGGAAAGTTGTCCACTGATGAAATGCATCTGGGCGGTCAGCACGGTGTAGGCTCCCGTAATGATAACGGTGAGCGGTTACTTCATTTGTGTGAAGATGCTCGCTTATTTCTTGCGAGCACTACTTTCCGACACAGCACCCGCCGTAGGGTGACTTAGCGCCCACCAGCCTCGAACCAGCCTTGGGCGCAGATCGATCACATTGCTATTAGTTACCGCTGGAGAGGCGGCATCCATAATTGTCGCTCGGTTTGGAGCACATGTGTGGACACCGATCATGCACTTGTATGTGCTGACATGCGAATGCGCTTTGGCGGACGCCCGCGACGACGCTGTGAGCGCATTGACAAAAGCCAACTGACAAAGCCAGCTGTTCTGAATGCGGATCAAAGTAGGCTGACATGCGAGTTGAGCAATCGCTCACTGGAGACAATTGATGGTCACTGGTCACATGTTCGTCAGACCTTACTAGCAGCGGGCAAGTCCTCATGTGGTATGTCTAAAAGTCAACATGGACATTGGGTCTCTTCTCGGTCTCTGGAACTTATCGGCGCTCGCCGGCATATCCCGGCTGGAAGCGAGCACAATGAAACTCGCAAAGAGCTCCGGGCAAAACTCCGTGCTAGCCTGAAGTAAGACCGCGAATCTTGGTGGTCTCATCGTGCGTCAGAGATGGAAGTGGCCGCTGCCCTTGGCAACCATCGTAAGTTATTCCGTCTGATACGGGAAACGGGCAGCAGGAGGCCTGGTGTTAGTGAAACAATTTGTGACGAGAGTGGACAGCCTATCCACAATTTGTCAAAACGTTTGGAGCGTTGGGCTGAGCATTTTGAAAAGCAATTTAATCGGCTAGAATTGTTCGATTCTTCGCCGGCGAGTGATCGCCCTGCTCCGGGGACTGTCCTTTCGGATCCACCCTCTCGCTCAGAAGTCAAACGTGAGATCGGACTGTTGAAGTTGAACAAAGCCGCGGGACCAAATGATCTTCCTCCAGCCCTCTTCAAATTCGGAGGCTCTGCTCTTGTTGAGGCTTTGCACGAATTACTAGTGAAACTGTGGGAGCACCAGACTGTCCCAACCGACTGGAGCCGCTCCGTTATTGTTCCCATCTTCAAAGGAGGCTCACGTTCGGAATGCGGCAACCATGGAGGAATCAGTCTGATCTCCATCGCCTCCAAATTACTCGCCTCCATAATTCTTCACAGACTGACTGGCGCTCGTGAAAGCCAGATTCGTGAGGGGCAAGCCGGGTTTCGTCGGGGTCGTGGCTGCATCGACCACATCTTCACCTTACGTCAGTCGTTGGAGCACCGCCACACATATTGGCGGCCCACCGTTGTCTTGTTCCTCGACATCAAAGAGGCCTTCGATTCGGTTGGTCGATGTGCCCTTTGGAATTGTTTACTCAGGAAAGGTGTGCCCGAGAAATATGTAAATATTATCCAAGCATTATATGCGCGTAGCACGGGCAGAATGAGGGCTTACGGCAAGCTGTCGCCGCCATTTAATATCTCCAGCGGTGTGAGACAAGGATGCCCGCTGTCACCTTTCCTCTACAACTTTGCTATTGACGAAGTCATGGAGATTGCATTTACAGGACATGACTTGGAAGGTGTGGAGCTACTCCCAGGAGAACGACGTCTTGACTTGGAGTATGCAGACGACATTGCCCTCATCTGTGACAGCTCCCAGACGTGCCAAGCCGCACTGGACAGATTAGCACTGGTTGACAGCCGCTTCGGGCCTTGCTTTGCACCATCGAAGTGCAAAGCGTTCCTCCAAGATTGGCAGAGATCGCCTCCTGCGCTGACCCTTGGTGGGGATCAGCTAGAAGTCGTTCAGAAATTCAGTTACCTAGGAAGTTGTATCAGCGCCCTTGGGATCGAAGACGAGATCACGAACCGCATAGCAAAAGCCCGGATTGCTTTTGCTAACCTTCGCCACTTATGGCGGCGGCGCGACATTATTCCTGCCCTGCAGGGTAGAGTGTACAATGCAGCGGTACGTTCGACCTTACTGTACGGTTGCGAAACCTGGCCCCTAAGATCGGCGGACTTGAAGAGGCTAGCTACGTTCGACCATCGGTGCTTTCGCAGTTTGGCTCACATCTGGTGGGAACACTGCGTGAGTAACGAGCTTGTTCGACGCATTGTTTACGGCCCAGGAAAAGGATCTGAACCGCTCAGCACCGTTATTTCCCGCACCAGGCTCCGATGGCTCGGCCACGTGTTACTCATGCCAGCCCACCGACTCCCTCGACTTGCGTTGTTTGCTCACCGGGGATGTGGGTGGAAGAAGAGGAGAGGTGGCTAAGCGATGACTTGGTCCAGAGGAATGAAGTCCATCACTTCGGAGCTAGCCTGGGTTGGAGCTTCAAAGCTCCCTGATTGGGGTCCAAAAGACGGTGAACACGTTTGGCTGGATACACTTGCTGACGTGGCAAGGAGCCGACCACAGTGGCGTTCCTGCTGTGAGTTTCTTTGTCCCTCCCCATCCCTTTTAGTCTCCCCCTCCATCTACGATCTCATTTCCTAGAGTAAAACATAAAAGAAATTTTATTTTTGCCTGGTAGCTGGCTGGAAGCTTACCGGAACGATGCCTATCCGTTGCTGGTAGCTCAGCTGGCATGCAACTGTTGTATCTACTTTTCCTTTGTGTATTGTATTATATGTATGTATGTATTTCTTTCATGTATTGCGGCACAATAGCGGAGCTTTTTCCCACCTCTAGCTGCTGTGTATAATGATAATGATGATGATGACAACTGCAGCCGCATACCGTTTGCAGAAAATGCTGGAAGCGTCTACGCAGGTATCGCAGAATTGCATTACATGTCTCAGTTGCGGTAAAGAGCAACGGGATTCCGTGGACTTTGCCGTGAAATGGGTCCAATGCTGTGACTGCAAGCACTGGTGTCATAAAACGTGTGCGGACAGCCGGGATCCATATGAGTCGCACCAGTGTGTGGACTGCCAACGAATCATGAAGGAGGACTGAACGGAACATGCAAACCTCAGTAAGCGGATGACAGGGAACGGGCGTAAATCCAAATGTTTTGAAAACCCAAAAACGCCAAATGTTTGAAAGATCAAAAAACGAAAACTTTTAAAAAACCCAAAAATAGAAAAAGTTTTTCCAAAGAAAATGTATATTACCCCACACACGCCTACGTGATGTTGGTCCGTTATGGGTAAGCTTTTCCTGTCTAGATGTATCGCTTTCGATACATGCCATTAACGGACACTGCCTTTCTTATTTTGCTTCATGCAAAACGGAGAGATGGCATTCCTTTGAATGATGTCGTCGCATGGAACCTGCGTACATTAAGCTTTTTGTCGCTGTAAGAGGAGGGCACGGGTGGGAGGCCGCTAGGATTCGTTTGCCTGGTGCTCCCCCAGCACCTGCATCTGGTTTCACCACCAGGGCTCATAGAAGGCTGACCCGCGACGGACGGTCCTCAGCTAGGTCGAAGGATCAAAGTGGTCGCTCCGCAGATAAGAGCACTTACTTACCCGGAGATATTTCCTGTCTGTCGCATAGTTTGCAAAACATTATGTAACCGTATCCTACGTTGTAGTTTATGTTGCTAGGTGGTTTGCTTACTGGAATGTTGTTCTTGATTGCGCGTGTCCCTTACTCAGTAGTACATGTTACACGCGGTCTGTGCATCAGCATAATTTGTTACGTGGAACTACTGTGAACCTCCCCAATTCCCGTAGCTGGTTAAAGATTTCGTGCCATTCACATAGCTGGATTGTACGTTTCAGCAATAAAAGTATATCTCATCCCCGTAACTTGCCTTTTAACTGTATTTTGGGGTTTTACGTGATGATATCTTCGCGTCGTCAAGTACTTTAGTCATACACTGCGAACAATGCGCGATGGCATCTTGTTTTAACCGTGAAATGACGCATCACTGCTTGTTGAAACTACTGGTTCCTTCTCATATTGCATTCACCAGTTTGATACCATTCGCGCATAACGGATGAACCTAGCTCATCCACCTAATAGGATAGTGACGGATGGTGCTACGGCTTTTGGTGTAGACACCGCGACCATGTCGGCTTCATGAAACATAGGGCTGTACGTAAGTGAAGCGGGATACAAGTGACATTTGATGGAGTGTAAAGGCCGTATTATAAGAAGTTACACGGACTAGTAGCGTATACTGGAGCATTACAATCAGATGAAAATGCAGC